CACACACACACTTAAACACGGTTTCAAACAGATGGTAATCTCAATGAGTTTAATGAGCTGTGAGAATTAAAGATGAAAGAACCAAAAACTGAAAGGTTATTTTCAGTTTGTTTTGCAGAAAAAAAAAAAATGTAGATATATTTATTGATGACAACTTACAGCAGCAGCAGCTATATTAAATTTGCAATCTCAATTCCTCTTTAACATCTATTATACTAGTCTATTTACTAGCTGCTCTAGCAACTTCAAGCTAACCAAAGAAAAAAAAACCCTAGAAATATCTTGACAACTGAACTGTCACTGTTAACAGTTTATCAAAAAACAGTTTTACTCATTCTTATGATATTATATCAAATATCGCCGTTAGAAAATCAGTCTATCAATAATAGAGAAAAAAAAAATTGATCTCAAACTTAAGAAGAAGAAAAACTTCTTTCCTAATTCACAGTTTCAAGTCATCCTAAACTACCTTAGATTATTTTGAATGTTCAAAATATATATATATAATCTTTGCTTCATAATACTTAAATAATAATTACTCTTTTACTTAAACTATTCTGTTGACTAAACTTTTTGCTCATTTGTTTTTTTTTTTTTTTCGGTGTTAACAAAAATATATTTGCACACAACAAAACGGTAGTTTTCTGCAGTCTCAAAATGGTGATAAAATTAACCGTAAAACTATCGGCATATAAAAAAGCAATAAAAAGAAGAAAAAATTATGAACATAAGAACTGAAAAATTTAAATAATCTGTCACCGATTGATCGTATTGCTTAACGGTTTGGGACTGCAACAGATTTTCTACAGTTTACTGCAAATATTACTTTAGTGATGTGTATCTTTTGTTATCAAAAGATAGTGAGCTCAATCAGTCAGCTCAACAGATTATTCATTTCAACTGCAGCTGAATTATTAACTGAATCTGTTGACTAAATTCTTCTTGATTAACCTGTATTTTGTACATTCAAAAAAAACCATATCTTTTATTATTTAACGCTGTTTTCTCCCTACACTAGCATTTTATTCAGCTTGTCCAGTTTTCCTTCAACAAACTTTTTCAAACTTCAAGATACACTTTCAAAACATTCAATTACATCGGTGTAATCATAGAAGGAAAAGTTTTAACCATCTATAAAATCACGTCCAGACAGTGACTAGGCTATATTTAAAGATTGGTTAAAGTATAGAAACAGACTTTTATATATAAACTAAAACTATACAGAACCGCAAGATTTAAAATGCCGCTTAGAAGGTAAGTCTAAAAAATTGTCTTGTTTACAAGCAAATCAGTTTTAGCATAAACTTAGACTACGGTAGCCTGGTTTAAAGCACTGCCCATCCGTATGATATGGCGATTGAAGAAATTTGGATCAAAGAAGTACCATTACTGTTCAAAAAACTGAGAAAAAAAAGCAGTTATCAGACCCTATAACAAAACGAATTTCACATACTGATGTTCATGTAGCTTGAAGCTTGAGCTGAAAATAAACCTACAATTAGCTATGCTCATTAAGTCGCTGACACTGAACTAGTCAATGAATCGTAAAACCCTCAGTTTCATAAACGGCAACCAGGTGAACGCCAAGCAACCAGTCTTTTTCCTACCAGACAACAACTTCCAATCACTAAATGTTAACTATCTTCGAGCTTTTGTTTTGGCAGTAAATGCTTTTGATAGTTGACCTACAATTATTTACAACAAAATATCCATTACTGACCGATGACCTACATTAAAAATGAATTAGAAAAGATGGTGAAAAACAACCTTGTCTAGCCATCTTAGCTTGTAAAAAAAAGCAAATTTTCAGACTGAAAAACATTAATTTTTTCAAAAGTCAGAACTTTAAACTTACAATTTCCAGTATGTCCAATAACTTTTACCCCTATTATACCAAGTGGAAAAACTGAAAAACAAAATATAATTTAACACCTAATTTGCACTATCTGCTGAAGTTGTAAAGATTAGAATTATCAACTCAAAGAATCCTTTTGCCTGTGAACCACCGACACAATTAATAAAATCGGCTTCAACAACTCGTAAACACCAGTGATTTCTTGAAAATCCAAAAAAAACTGTTTGAAAACAAAAGACCTTTACTCAAAATTTATAATTCACTAGTCAGCTAAGCTCCCCTGCATTTATTTTTTTTATGTTACTACAGAGCTGGAAGTAAATTGAACAGGTTCATTTTGAGAAGCAACTAATAAAACATAAATGTTTATTTTGAAATGCGATGCCTTTAAAATTGCACCTTAAACCTTTCTGTTGACCAAATGATCACCTATTTTCAGTGCTTAAAGTTTTTAGCTCAACTTCTGTCTTCACATATTGTTGATTACTTTATATAGTACAAACCAGCATTATTATTAGCAAAACAGTGAGAAATTTGATAGCTAGAGCTGTCACCGGCGCACTCACAGCACAAAACTCAAATATCATTCCATCTTTATCAAATGAATCTCTCAACAAAAACCCATTATTTTTCCCAACTTCACCACCACTTTCACTTTCTACTTGTTACGGTCTATATGATTTAGGAGTGAGGAGACTCACCGATTCTTCACCATACCTACCGCCTAGTCACATTAATCAGAG